AGTTGTCACAGTTGTGTAAAAAAAAAAGAATCACACCTAAAAGAAAAATGACAACAGGACACACAGCAGAAGAAGCCCCGACCAAACCACATTCTACACTCATTACATCGGCACGGCTCGGTGATAACAAGGACATCAGGTTTGATTAAAACCATTTGGTGCTGCATAAAYTGAACTTCTGAGCTGTTGTTCTCAAACAAGAAAAACATTTCATTCAAAAAACTATTTGAATTATTGTAGTATTAAAAGGTTTAAGCAAAAGAAGCAATGCATCACGATCGTTGCAACGTTAGCCAACATCAAAATGACCAACTCAGAGATTTCAACAATTAATGAGATATAATTTAGTGTAGTAGCTGAGAGTTGTTCACAACACATACGCTAAAAAAATGTTTTAGTTGGATTTACTTAAATCATACTTATAGGTTCTACTCAACTGAATTAAGTAAATCTAACACAATTACTTCACATTCACGTGTAAAGTAAATGAAAAAACTGCTTTAAATTTACTAAACTCAGTTGAGCAGAACCTGACTGAGACAAAAGTTATCATTAGGGTTTGACCAAAACGGTTTTAACCCTAAAATGATCATGTCTAAAACTTTGGCATGAAAATCTTTAKTTCTAATAACAATATTATTTTGTGCGCTGACATTATTTAAATTAAATGAAACATTGATTTATGTCTCCGTTTTGCAAAATCAGACATTTCTTTAAAAATCTGTATTTCASAATCAGATTAAAATAGTTTTATRGATCCCTGAGGYAAATTACACAAACATAATATTGTCACAAATCCAAAAGATGGAGTTTCTCGATGCATTTTTGTTCTTTTGCTGAGAGTTTCATGACAATAATCAAATCTGTTTTGTTAGAAAGCTCAGGTCTGGACTTGTAGAGGACATGAACAACATGAGGACATGTTGTTTGTAACACCAAAAGTCCCCGCAGCATTTCAGCATGAATCTGCCTCCTCCGTTATTAGACACCCGGAGTGGATCAGCCTGCTGACAGTAGCCCTGAAAGGCCCATTAACACCTCCAGAGAGGAGAGCCCAGCCCCCTCTATAAACAGCCCAGCCGGCGGTCCGTCCTAATGGGTCTAGCTCATTCCCAGCCTGGCCTGCTCCAGGTGTGGAAGCCGAGCCCTGTAATTGATAATTAGAGGGTAATAACTCGACATTCAGCTCTGGCCTCATGACAGGAGAGTGGCCAGGCCCCACACTATCACTCAGTCAGAGGAAACTGGAAAATTGAGGAGGAGGGGGGTCGTTGTTCCACAAAGGGAGCTTTTGATGGGTGAATGAGACGAGTGAGAGAAACAAGCGCTCGCTTGGTGGCCACGTTGTGTGTTTTAGTGCGACACGTATGCAAAGATATGATAGAGGCGAGTATTTGAGTTGTACTCTGACACAAAGAGCCTCAACGTGTTGCTTTGCGTAAAGTTGCTGATAGCGTGTGTGTGTGTGTGTGTGTGTGTGTGTGTGTGTGTTTGTGTG